CAAGCATTTACTCAAGTTCGTTAGATATATTATGCATTATTTTTCTCTGTCACAAATGCCTTCAAAATCCCCTGGGATTATCACACTTTCCAAGGCTTCTTTTCTTAATATGTATCCTAGAAATTTCAACAGTGCTTTTCTGTTTAAGTATAAGTCTTCTTTTCGTTTTCATTTTCTCTAAAACTTCGTCGTTGCTTACATGTTCGATCTATGGTGTCATCAACATTCTTCTGCAAAACATTTCCGTCGCTTCAAGTCTCCACTTTATCTTTGTGGGGACTGTCATACACTCACTGCCATACAGACGAATACACATCACGTAACAGTTCAGCATTGTTTTCCTTATTTCTAGCGAAGTTATATTTTATTTCTTAGCAACCCTTCAAATATGAATTCGGATTTCTCTGTCACAAAGAAAATCTTTGTACTGCTTTGATTTTGATATCTGTCGTCTCGCAGTTGGCGTTTAACCCTTTCTCCTCTCTTTTCTTTACTAGCTTCTGTAGCAGTTATAGTTTTCTTTCAGTGCATTTTCAGCATCTTTTTATAAAACCATGGATTATTTCTCTATTCAAACGCATCTTCGGATTTCGGTGTCACAATTTCTTTCTAATAGTAAACCCCTTTCTAGATATTTAAATTGATGTTCTTGCTTGATTCTGGTATCTCAAATTTAAGATTTCCATGATGGTGTCCGCTTGATAATCAGATACTCTTTGGATGCTGGGGGGGTCTAATTGATAACTGCTCAGAATTGGAAATCAATGAGCCGAGTTCCAATTCCAGTCGGGTTGTTTATATTCAGTTAGGCGCAAATACACATTGGATGGTATGGGTCCACTTCTTCCCCTGTCTGCTATGAGTTAATTAATAAATCTTGTATCAGCAAATCATTATTATCCCCAAAACATCCTTACAATCTAAAAATATTTTCTGGATTTAAATAACATTCAAATGTTTGATAAACTATAAAACAAAAACAAATCAATCAATAAAAAATTAAAATATTCGCCCGATTTTCTTTCTCTAATTCAATTTCAGTCAGTGTTATCGTATATTTTGAACTATTTGAACTTTCCGCATTTATTCGCTAGGGTTTCAATGAGGTGATATCTTTGAAGTCCCAGGAAATTATTTTCTTATTTCTAGGAAAGTGTCTGATTAGTGTATATGGAATTGGTTTCTAAGAAGAATTCCCAGTTCTTATCACAACTCCCTGTGTGCGACCATTAGGCAGAAATAAATATATATTTTCGTTTCCGAATTAATACTTTTTTTTATTACATATTTGTTGCATTTGATTCTGCAAAATCGAGATTTACCAGGCCATTGTAAGTCCTGTATTTTTCCTTAATAAATTAAATTTTATTTAATAAGATGTTTCTCAGGAAAAACATATAGACAGACATTTATTTATCTATCCTCATCCTTTTTTTATAATAAAAAACTTCCCGTTTTCTTGGGGGTACTTGCTGACCCGGTTAACCTTCAGCCTCAAGCCGTTATTTGATGTGCGATATAGATCGTTCTTGCTCTATTATATATGTCTAGTGATGTTATGGTCCAAGTTCTTTGTACCACGGTGATGGTTCAAGGTGAGAACCAATGAAAGAATAACATGAACACAGGTATGGAATACAAAGATATATTACAACAGAAATATAATACAAAGAAGTAGAAGTATTATTAATGACTATCAGATTTGGTTAGAGTGAACTATTTTGTCTCGACAGGTATCACTATTCCAATGTCCTTACAATATGCTCTCAATTATCTCTCCTCGTGTTACAATCTCCGCATACCTTTTGAGAGGCGCAGTATTTATAATGTCAGGAATAGTCTATTATTATTATGGGTAAGTTACCATAACACCCCCCCCACACACTTCCGAAGCTTTTGCGTAGCAGGGGTTTTTAATATTTTTTCTCTTTGGATCTATTACCAAAGGTTCTGTGAACTTCCTTTTTCTGGACGATATTCATGAATACTTCTTCTAGACTAAGTAGAGGATAGTGGTAGTCTTTTATCGCTGCGTTGAGAAATCAGCGCATACTCGAATATCCTCTAATTTGTTTTACGTAAACCGTGGGTGCTGCCCATTAATTGTATTCTACTTTTGTCAATATGCCGGTGTTTTCGAGTCTAGCCAATTCTTGATCCATTTTTTCTATTAAAGCTAACGGTACGCTCCTTTTTTTCTTGAAGATAGGTTGAACGTTTTCTTTTATTTCTATATTTAGTTTATATAGTTCCGTCACATGTAGCGTTAAGCATGAAGTACACAAACTTCAAGAAAATTTTTCCACATGAGTGATGTGACCTTTTCAACAGTGGCTTTCTTTTTGCCAATCTTTGATAAATGCCAGAATTATCAAGACCACGACCAATAATTGTGCTAAGAAAAGCTTGTCTAACCTGAACTGTTGATCTTCGGGGCTCCAACAGAATTACCATGGGCTTCTTGGTGGAGTTTAGATAAATACACGCCTGTAGGGAGAACCCCTCGCCTTTGATTTGTTGTCCGTTGTACCATAGACTTTAGACCCTGCTTCATACTTCTTCACAACTTTATTCCACAACAATTCGATAAGCACTTTTATATTTATGATACAGGTCGCTCGCTATAGTACTCTAAATGCGAGTGAACCACTGTGCATCAAAGAATTAAATTGAATTCTATAAGTGTCTGATGAAACCTATCTATATGCGGACCTCTGATTATTTACCTAACTTGATCATGCCGCGCAAACGATTATCAAAATAATATCGTTTTTCTTTGTAGTGGGTATATACGCACACACACACACACACACACACACACACACACACACACACACACACACATACACACACACACATATATATATATATACACACACACACATATATATATATATATATATATATATATATCATATCCACCATAAAGAAAAATTTTGGTCTTGCCAACACTTCTTAAAATACAACATAAAATGAGATATATTTGTATTTTTTAAAGTAAAAGAGTAAAGTTTACTAACTGCAGTGTATTTCGATGTATTATGTCAAATAAGAACAACGTCATATAGTTTCCATCAATGTAACCATCATCTGATCAAATAAGCTCATTACAGATTTTTGTATATTGTTTGGTGTTTTGTTAAAATAAATGTCTGATCTTCCCAAGGATTTTTCAAGCTGTGAAAATGCTCAATCTGACTCTTTTTCTATTCCCCTCGAAATCTTATCCGATTCAACCTATACTACACCAATGGGAGTGAAGGAAGAAGATTGATGCAGCCAGGTCATAATTTCCTAAAATAGTGGGCTTTCTCCCAGGTTTGTTCGGACATATACATTCCTTTTACTCGAAAAAATATTCAAATTTGGATTCGTCACTTTGGACTGTCACAGATGAAACTCCTCTCTCACGTGCCAAAGGCATTATTGGATCTTTTCTAATTGAGCTCTTTAGATCTAAGTTGAACTAATGCTCCATCAAGATGTGACATTCTGAACCAGTTTTCTTCTCTACTATTACGTCTTTTTTAAACTTATTCACTCATGTCTTGAAGCTTCTTGAATAGACTTTCAAGATGTAAGCAATACTGAAGTACGGAATGATCTTTTTTCCTCTCACCAGTGCTCAGTTAGATAAACAGTGGGTTTGAAAAAAAAAACAATTTTAACCTGCTCTATTTTTATCCGAATAACTCAAATGGTTTTTTCAGTGATTCTTACGAAAAAAGGTGTCAAGCTGCCTACACATCTTATCGGAAAACTGGAAAAAAGAAAAACAGTTAGTTTAGATTTCTTTTTCTATTTTAGATATTAAACATTTTTGGCATGTATAGATATGCTATTACACGAATTGGACAATTTAACATAGGTATATATATATATATATATATATATATATATATATATATATATATATATATATATATATATATATATATATATTATATATATTTGGCCACCACTTTCTGTCCAAATCACTCTTTTTGTATCTGTCTGTCCAAATCACTCTCTTTCTATCTGTCTGTCCATAAGATTTTATAACAATTCTCTACATTGCCCTAAATCCTTAACAGTATAATATTGTCTACTATATTTGTATCAGTAGGTTTGTTGCAGTTTCGTAAATCATTAGTATCACATACTACATCCTTATATACGTACATCAGTATGTATGAGTACCAACAAATAAGAGAATAAAGCTTAAATGTAGATTCTAACGGAAGAAAAGCAAAAGAAGAAAAATAGAAACTAATCGAGCCAATTTGAAAGCTGAAAATGGGCAGATAAAAGGCTTACACGCCAGTCTCTTCGGTGTGTAGGGCCACGCGACACTCGCGATAAAATTACTCGTAAAATTACCAAAGCAAACGTCAGTAAAGAAAATAATGATGATGTAAATTGAGAACATTTTCTTCAGCAGACAAACATTTTACTTTGTCCAAAATCGTCTTCGTTGCGTGAAAAATTGTCGTTAGAATATTTTTTTTTACTTTTAAGATAGAGAAAAAACTAAGGGGATGAGAAGAAAAAATGAATTAAAAAAAAAAGCAAAAGAATTGTAATGAAACAGGAAGAAGAAATGTAATTAAAAGAAAAGGAAAGAGAAAAAGACTGAGAAGAAGAAAATCAGGAGACGAAGAATAAATGGAGGGAGAAAAATGGAAAACGAAAAGAAGAAAAAAGAATAATAATAAAAAAGAAAATATAAACACGAAAAGATGGAGAAGATGAAGTACGAAAGTCATGATATAGACAGAACAAGAACAAAAAAAGGAAAAAGGAAATAGAAAAAATATGTAAGAGGAAAGAAGAAAAAAGACCAGAAAAACAGAAGAAAAAAAGATATCTGGAAGTAGAACAGAAAAAACAAAACAAAAGAAAGTAAAAAGAAGAAAAAGAAAGAGAAGAAGAAAGGAAGTAAAATGTGAAGACGAAATAAAAAGAGAGTAGAGAAAAAAATGGTAGATGAAAGGAAAGGAGAAGAAAAGAAGCAAAGGAAACTAAAAAGAAAGAAATGAAAAAGAAGAAAATGAAACGAACGAAGAAGAAAAATGTTGATACTGCAGAATAAGAGGGAATATAGAAGTCGCTTAAAGTGCTTAGAATCAAACAGGAGAATTGAAATGATCAAAATAAGAAACAGTAGAAAATTTAGCGATGCAAAGAGAACAAAATCTTTTATGAGAGTTAGAGAATCAAAAGTAAAAGTAAAATAAGAGTAAAAAGAAATCCAAAAGGAGATGATGACAAGAAGAACAAAAATGAAGAGGAAGTGGTGGATGGGAAAAAAAAATTGCAGGAAGGAACAGAAGAAAAAAAGCAATGCTGGTTGTTATTTGCCGATTTTTTAGACAAGTTGAGGAGATTCGGCATCAAATGAGACGAAGAACTCAAAGAATAAAACGACGCCATTTTATTTGTCTTGGTCTGTTTTCACCATTTTATTTTGTCATATTTATATTTTATAAAATGTTCTTTGAATAATTCTTCTTCTTGCTATACAAAAAAAGTAAGAAAAAAAGTAAGTAAGAATAAAAAAAAAATATCAAGAAAAGTTTTTCTCCTTCCAAAAATAAATCATTTACAAATTTGTAAATTATATAGGCTAGAAGAACATTCCGAATATATAATACATTTTGTTGTCTTGTATGCGATAGAGTATTTTCATCAACGTCAGTAACAGAAAATAACGAAACGACAGAGAAAATAGACAAATAAGCGACAGAATAAGAAGCAGCAGTATTAGAAGCAGGAGCAGCAGAAATAGAAACAGCAGCAGAAACAGAATAAGCAGCGGCAATAGAAGTGACAGTAAAAACAACTGAAGCAGACGAAACAGCAGCCACTGAAGTAGAAGTAGCAGTAGTAGTAGTAAAAGCAGCAGCAACAGAAAAAGAAAGAGCATCATCTGAAATAATAAAACCAGCAGAAAAATGATGTAAAAGCAGCAACAAAAGAAATAGAAGTGACAAAAACAGAAGCAGAAGCAGCAGCAATAGTAGGACGAGCCTCAGTAACAGAATAAGCAGAAGAAGCAGAGACAAAATTTGAAGAAGCATCAGCAGAATTATAACTAGCAGCAATAGAAGTAGATGTAGCAACATGAAAAGAAGTAAAATCAGTTGCAACAAAATACGCAGCAGCAAGTATAAAAAGCAGCAGCAGAATAAAAAACAGCAGCAACACAAGAGTTGAAACAACAGCAACAGAAGTAGAAACAGCAAACAAATTAGAGTTCGATACACCAGTAAAAGAAGTAGTTGATACAGCAGAAATAGAAGGACATGCAGTAGTTACGGAAGTAGAAGGAGAAACAAGAACAAACGCATTAGTAGCAGCAACGGAATAATTAAAAACTGCAGAAACAGAACTTTAGACGCTATGACAGAAGTAGAAGCAATGTAATCAGGTGTAGAAGCAGCAGCAACTGAAGTAGAAGAATCAGCAGCAGAGTTAAATGATTAATTATCATTGTTGATGTAATTTTTGTTATTGATGCCCAAATTGACTAGGTTTCTTTTATATTTTTTTTCTTTCATAATTTCTGTATTATTATTTTAATTATTTTTCTTATTAGAACGGGTGGCATGCCAAAATAGTAACGCTGGGCTACAGACATGCGAATCCTTGTATAATCATGAAGAAAATCTACTTTTTGTATAACAAGTACATGCATCACAGAAAAATAGGATAAAAGGTCTTGACAAAAGCAGAGCATAGCATTCGAGTTCGGGGGGCTAGGTCTTATACCCCAGTCAATGTAGACGGTTTGGTGGTGTTCTAATTATCTAAATGAGACATCTAAATCAATGTAGCTTCTCCAAGACTTCGAATTAGAAAAAAGAAAAACATAAAGAGCTGGCTGTGATGTTCCTCGATTCTTCGTGTTTAGAGGATATGCGCAACTTCCTAAAATGTTCTTGGTTTTGAAATCTATTTTGTAGTATATAGGCGTTTCAGATTTTAACTTCAATTTAAAATCATAGAAGTAGATAGGCTTGACTATCTTCGGGTCCACTCTTCTTCCCAGTCTTTTGAACAGGTGTAAAGATTTATCCCTTGTTTCCTCTTTAGGATTCGGTTTCCGGTTTCTTTATCTCTGTACTCCTGATTTCTCTACCTGAAAACTAAAATTTTATTCAGTGATTTTTTCCTTCCCAGTTAGAGTAAATAGTTTTTTCTCTCATCCGGTTCATACTCCTATCCGGTCCTTTGGATAAAAGTAGAGGTTTATCCGTTGTTTACTGTTTAGGATTTCCGGATACTTCAAAATACGTTTTTATTATCCTTCACTCCCAGTAGTACCCTGCGTCTTAGTGGCATTAACTTGTTTGTTGTTAAGTGATTAAAAAAGACAAAATATATCAAGCAAATGACTAGCAAATGTGTTGCACTCAAACGGATATTTAATGTGGCACTTTTTAATTCCCAAACATAAATCATTTACATGAGGACACATCCCAGAAGTTTACTATAGTATCATTATTTTATTTTATTTCTGGTGTGAACACATTTCTTTCCGAGTCCCGCCCAGTAACCTAAGGTTAAAAATGGCATCATTTTCACTGAACAATTAAATAACACATACACATATTTTACTTAGATAATGTCCGTCGTAAGTTGTGGCTTGTACTCGTGAGAACAATTTTTTTTGTATTTTTTTAAGTCATGGACTTCCAGAAATCACTTCAATGAATCTACTGGAATCTTTTTCAACCAATCCGGGTGCTTCAACTACAACAGGGATTGTTGATGTTCCCATGTGCCACATTTTTGAGATTTCGATTTCAAGGTCCTTGTATTTTGATAGCTTTCTGAAGATCTTCAAAGATACTTTGCAGTCCGCAGGGCCATCCATATCAATAAGGAGACACTTTCTTTTGTTTGCGGTCTCTAATAACAATGTCTGTGCTGTTAGCTTTGATTGTTATGTCTGTGTGCATTGTGTAGTCCCATAAAATTGTAATATGTCCAATCTCCGTAACCGTATCTGGTTATTATTATTATTATTATTATTATTATTATTATTATTATTTGCATTTTTCTTTCCGTTGAAATAATAAAAGGAGGTAGAAATCATTATTACTACTACCAAATCGAGCATATTAAAAACGAAAGAAATACATAAAAAAAAAAACAAGAGCTATAAAACAATTATCATAAAATAAATAACTGTACAGTGGTGAATTGAAACAATGTAAAAATAAATCAATTCATGACAACGTTTCAAAAGCACTGAGTAAGAACAGTGAAGTATTGAATAGCGGCCAGGATTGAGGAATCCGAGAGTTCGAATTCCAGTCGAATCCATTACATTCACTGACGTGTTAATACCCTTGGGAAAGGTATGAATCCTCTGTTTCTCCCCGCAGCTATGGGTAAATAGCAGAACAAACCGAGTTCTATATTTTTTTATTGCAACTGGTCTACCGCAGAAAGAAATGGCAAACGACTGCGGAAAAAACATCTGCCTCGTCAGTCACTCAACGAAAGATACATGATCGCCTAAACATGTACCACGCATGCACATAACTGAAGTAAGAACTGTCAGAGAATTATTGAAGGAGAACAAATTATATATAATCACACAAACACTGTGCCTTGCATTAATGTCATTTTTGTGTAATATATATATATATATATATATATATATATATATATATATATATATATAAAATGGAAGAGTTAGAAACAGGAACAATTGCTTGGGAGCGAAAACTGAGAAAGATTAATCAGGAGGATAATGGATAGCGATTGATTTACATTTAAATATTTGTAGATTAAAGGTGGCTGAAAAGCATGGAGTCGGATTAGTGTCCCACATGCGAGAAGTGCGAGATAAGGAACTGTTAGCATAGAATTTACGATAATATTTTGCCGCATCATTTGTGAAACCTCGTCGTCAATTTAGTACAGCGTTTAAATTCAATGAGTTTAAGGACCATAGAAAAGAGTTTATAACTCCAACAATTACCGTGTAAGTATTTACAGAAAACTCAAAAGGAAGGTGGTCGGAAAGTCACTCAACCGAGGTGCTAGATCGTGGTCAATAATATTGCTGTTTCTACTTTGGATTTTGTCAAGGAGCTCTAGATAGTTGGAACTCAAACTATGTATAGGGGCAATATTCAAAGCATGACCGAATGGTAAACTTATAAAGCTAAAAGAGAGATTCTGGACAGAAAAATAGCCTCGCACATCACAGTGACCCAAACATACTAGCAGCTGACCTGGCAATGGTTTCAATATAAACTTTCTACTTCAGCCAAGAAAATTAGCCAAAGAAGGCGCAGCGCATTACACTACAGGAGGTCAGCATCAACCATGCTGAAGAGAGTCACAGGGTTTTCTCAGATAATTCATAGAGGACAGTTAGTGTTTTGTAGGGTAGAAAATAACCCAAAACCTACCCTGACGTATAGGCTATAGACGCTAGAATTTCTCAAGTGGTTTCTTCCAGTCGTTTCTTAATCTTTTCCGGACCGTAGACAGAATAATCTGTCAACTTTGAACATTCTTTCATATATATTTTATTACAATGTTAATAATATCCGTATCCCTATAAGGAAACACTCTGGAATTCATTGACCGAACAACCAATGTCTCCTTTCAGTTGAAATTTGTAAAATATTTCACTTGAAACAATTCACAATGATGATTCTCATGTCCAATAGGTGTTATCGCATTTTCCAGCATTGATGCGTGTTTCCATCCTAAACATTTATTGGAATTAATGTGGAATGTCAACACCTTGATTATGTCTTTATTTTCTTTTTGATCAACATATGGTATCCGATTTCCACTTCCAACAGGTTATCCATTAGTCCAACTGCACATTGAAGCTTATAGCACCTGATATACCCAAGTGGTCACCATCTAAAGTCGCTTAACCTCGTAAGTGAAGAGAACAATGTTTTCAGCGTGATATGTCCGTAAGCCGAAAATTCTAGGCTTTGGTGTGAAGAGAAAGCTATATACAACGCAAAGATGACAATTATATTTATCGTTTTCAGTGTTCAGTACCCATCGCTGTATACACATTTTATAGACAGAATTCAAAAACACAGAACAGAAAAAAAATACAGAACACGTAGATATGTTATTCTACATAAGGATGCTGAAAATAACATAGACCAAACATGGCAGCAATGAAGAAAATTTTAGAGAAAATGGAAACAAAATGGATTCGTATACTTAACATCAGAAAGAGACAGTTGAAATTTATATGGCATATGAAGACGGAAGAAAAACTGTGATATTCACGGGACATATTGAAGGCGGGTGGGTCACTGGAAACTAGGGCTTAATCTATATACTGCTCTTGAGTGAAAGGATTTCAGAAGGATGTTTATGAGAGATAACAAAAAGACAATAATTATTAAGGGCTACAAATGGCAGGAAATTGTGGAGAGACATGATCGCCAAAGTTCTGAAGGGATATTGCACATAGAAACGAAGGTGAAGAATACACGCATATGACTTAAAAGAATAAATCTATTTTTGTTTTGGTGTTTCGGGTTTTTACTAATACTTCAAAAATTAAAATTGCTTTGAATATTGTCCGTATATAAATAAGATTGATGCCGTTATGTTTATCCAATATATTATTATTATTAGTAGTAGTAGTAGTATTAATGTTATTATTATTATTATTATTGTTGTTGTTGTTATTATTATTATTATTATTATGATTATATACAACTCCAATAAATATACTACTCGATCCCGCTTCGTTAGATTGCCATATAGTTTTAATATTTATGTATATTGTTTTACGAAGAAGGAGGTACTGAGGGTAGTCATTATTCCCTCATTAATTTTATACAACACACACACACACACACACACACACACACACACACACACACACACATATACATATATATATATATATATATATATATATATATATATATATATTGTTTATGCGTTAAATTTATAGATAAATGTTATTTCAAGAAATACACTGTTTTAATTAAACAGTATTAATTGTACTTACCGGCTCAAATTAATACTGTTTAATTAAAACAGTGGTTTTACTTAAATTATATCTATAAAA